CCCCCCCCCCCAGCCTTCCTGGGGTCACCTTGGTGCCACCCATGTCACCGGTGCTGCCCTCAGTCTGTCTGTGCCACTGCCAGGTCACCGCTGCCACTTGTGCCCCCGGCACCCGGGGGGTCCCTGCCCGGCACCTGCACCCCACTGCACTCCATTGCGGCACCCTTGCACCCCCTACCGTGCCCTACAGCTTGCCCCGTGCCCTACAACCACTCCCCTGCAACCCTATGCTCCAAAACTGCCCTCCCATGCCCCCAAAGTGCTCTCTCCTGCACCTCATAACCACACACCCCGAACCCCATAAGTTCCCCCCCCATTGCTGCTCACACCCCATGCCCCACCGTTGCCTCTCTCATGCCCCATCCTTGCCCCCAGTCTCACACTTTCATTCTTCCCACAACCCTCCCTTCACCCCACACCCCATTCCCTCACATCCCATCACTCTTTTGCACCCCATCCTCACCCCTACACTCCCCACCTTGCATCCTATTCTCCATCATACCCTATCTCTGCCTCCCTTGCCCCAACACCCTGCATCTCCCCTCCCCTTACTCATCCCTTCTCTGCCCCATCCCCATGGCCCGGATCCCGGCTGTGGGTGCAGTGGGGCACAGTGGGGCTCAGTGGGGACGCTGGTGCCGGGACTTACGGGGTGCCGCGGGCGCTCCGCCCTGGGGGGCGTTGGGGGCTTTGGGCTCCGGCGGGGGCAGGGGCAGGGGCCGGGCCAGGGGAGCCCCTGCAGACCCCCCAGCCCGGCCCTGTGCCCCACACGGCTGCAACGAGAACACGGTGACGGGCACCCTGGGGGTGGCACGCAGGGACAAAGGGCGGCACCGGGGACATGGGGTGGCATCGAGGGGGGGGAGTGCTGCATGTGGCATGGGGTCCCCAAACCCAATGGGGAGGGTGACCCCGGTTTTGGGGGGGGGGAGGGAACAGCTGTCTTCATCACTGCAGCCAGCAAGACTGCTGGGCTCTCATTTGCACACAGGTGTGGCCCCAGGGCAGCCCCTGCGTTGCCCCGCCTCCTTCCTGCCTCATTTCAATACAAGCTGCCACCTCCCAGCACCTTTCCCCCAGCCCCGCCTGTTTCCTTATTTGCGTACAGACCACGCCTCCAATGCTACAAGCCCCGCCCATCATTTACGTTCAGACCACGCCCACTTGCTTTGCATACAGCCCCCCCATCCCCGCACAGCTTCGCATCCAGAACGCTCCTCCCAGCTCTCATTTACATACCGACCACACCCCCTCCTCCCCCTTATTTGCATACAATGGTCCCGCCCCCCTCGCCCCGCCCACCTGGGGGCCCTGCGCGGCGCCGTCGGCGCAGACGAACTGCACGAAGTCCTTGAGCGAATCCTGCCCGTGGTGGTAGCGGATGGTGGGGTGGGCGAAGTACGGCCCCGACTGGGGCAGGAGGGAGCCCGACGGGAAGTGCAGCGCCGAGGCTGTGGCCCGCGGGCTGCCTGCAGGGACCCTCAGTGCTCAGGGCCCCCCCATCACCTCCAAACCGATCCCACCCATAGGATTTCTCCACCCCGACCCCCTCCCCAAACCAGACAGGTCCCAAAGGGTGAGGAAGATGAGGATGCTGGGCGGATAGGGGGATTTGAGGGGGGGGGGTCCCAATGGGCTCACCGGGGCGGACGCCGGCCAGGACGGGCAGTGGGTGGTGGCCGAAGGCCATGCGGGGGCTGGCGCCGTGCCCTGACAGTGCGCTGCAGAAATCCAACTTCCCCGATTTCTTCAGCGTGGCTGGGCCTGGGGGGGAGAGGTGGGGATTGTGAGGGGCTGCTCCGGACCACAGAGGTGTCCACACCCCATTGGGATACTCCCCATCCCCCTGCAAACTGCACCCCCTCCTGCATGCTGGTGCAGGAGGGTCTGGTGCCCTTGGACGCCTCCATGGCACAGACCCCCCTCAGTGTTTCCCTTTGAGACCCTCCACGGCACAGACCCCCCTCAGTGTTTTCCTTTGGACCCCTCCACGGCACAGATCCCCCTCAGTGTCTATCTTTGGGCCCCTCCACGGCACAGACCCCCCTCAGTGTTTCTCTTTGGCATCCTCCATGGCACGGACTCCTCTCAGTACCTCCCTTTGGACCCTTCTGTAACACAGACCCCTCTCAGTGTTTCCCTTTGGGCCCCTCCGTGGCAATGACCACCTTGACAGCATCTCTCCTCGGGCTCCTGCATGGCACAGACTTCTCCCCTCAAACCTTCCCCCTCTTGTAGCCCACCCCCCTATAATCCCTACTCCCCCCCATCATGTTTCCCCAACATCCCCACAAATCACTCACCGGTGTCCACGTCCCCCCCCCAGGGCCCTTGGCTGCTGCCAGGGGCTGGGGACCTTCCTGGCCCAGGGTAGAAGACATCATCCCCAGGACCCTCCAGATCCCCCTCGTCCAGAGCCTTGGGACGCTTTGGGCCGCTGAAGGGACAGCAGTGTCACCCCCATGGGACAAGGGATGTCACCCCCCTGGGACAGGGGTGGGTGACACCCACTGTAGCAAGGTCATCCACTCACCAACTGGGGGCACGGGAACACTGGGATGTGTGGGGACAATGGGAATGTGCATGGGATCTGGGGGGGGGGGGGGAACAGGGGAAAATTATGGGGTGTCACTAAGGAGTGGACCTAAGTGTGTTGTAGGGGTCCTCATGGAGTTACTGGGGGGCCTAGAGGGAGGTGTGCTAGAAGCTATGGGGTTGTTACAGGGATCCTGGGTGAGTACTGGGGGGCCCTGGGGGAGGAGTATTGGGATTCTGGGAGAGTACTGGGGGCCCTGGAGGAGGTTATGAGGGTCCCAGGGGTGGTGCTGGGGGCTCTGGGGGGCTTAAGAATGTCCTATGGGGGTTTTGGGGGAGGAGGGGGGTCCTGGGGAAGAGTTACAGGGGTACCTGGCAGTGGGGGGCCCCAGAGGCCGGCGGCCGAGGGTGACGGGGCTGATGTTGTAGTAACCCCCCGGGCTCTCCAGGTCAGCCAGCGAGAAGTTGGGGCCTGACGCCGTAGCCACAGGGGCTGGGGGACATGGGGGAGGTGGGGAGACTTGGGGACAACGTGCATGGCGGGGTGGGGGGTGGCACAGGTCCCACATGGGGGCCTCTTTGTGCCACCCCTCCATCCCCACCTCCTTTGCGTCCCTCCATCCCCACTTTCCTCCAATCCCCCTCCATCATCCCATGCCCATTTATGTTCCCCCTTTCTGTGTCCCCCATCAAGTTCCTACTTACTCTGGGACACCCTCACCAGCTCCGTCACGTTCCAGACACCTGACGTCACGAAGCAGTCCTGGAAGCTCAGATGCCCTGAGGAAAGGAAAAGGGAACGCTGGGACACGGGGTGGGAAAACCATGGGGATGGGGGTGACAGAAGGAGCTGGGGGGGTGGGGGTGGCACTGGCACTCACCGTTGGGCAGAGGTTTGATGTCTGCATCGCCCTGGGGGTTAGAGCTGTCAGATTGTCCGGAGTCTGTAGGAGAGAGAGAGGTCAGAACCACACCCCCACTAGACTGCCCCAGGCCCCTGCTGTCCCTGTGTGCCCCCCTAGACAGCTGTGACACCCCCGTGTGACATCCATGTCCCCACCAGCCACATTCCCATGGGGTCACCTGAGGTGAACATCCGCTGTGACCTCATCTGTGCCTCTCCCTCACCCCAGGGACCTCCCATATATACAGTACCCCATCATTTGCCCCCCAAGGGTGCCTCCTCTAACCCCCCGCCCCTCAAAGAGCCTGGGAACCCCTCAGGCTGCTGATGGGGGACCCAGCAGATAGGGGGTGCTCAGGAAGCCAGGCAGGGCTGTAGGGCTGGCAGGGGCTGGGCCAGGCTGGGGGGGGGGGGCTGGAGGCCACTGTGGGGCTGGGCTGGGGGCCAGGAATGTGCTGGCCCCCCGCCAGCGGGCAGCACCAACAAAGCGGCCATTGTCTGTGCTGGGCGGGGGAGTTGGGTCCCCCCCCTTGCACCTCCACCCCCACAGTAGGGTGTCCCCCCTGCACACCAGGGTCCCCCCCATCCCCCACCATTATGGGATCCCCCCCTCCCCCAAATCCAAGCTCTCAGCCCCCTTCCAACTTCAATCCCACCCTATCTCAGATACCAGGGTACCAAACAGAAGAGGGAAGGCAGAAGGATAGGACCCCACCCCACCCCCTTCAGCCACATCCCCCGTGGGGTCAGAGGTCAGCAGGGTGCCCGCCAGGTTGTGACCTCTGTGCAAGGGGACACGTGGCGGACGCGTGCCACACACACAGCTGTGTTCCCATCCCCTGGCCTCAGCGACTTAACCCCTCCCCACAACCTCCGTGGGTCTCAGCGTCCCCTCCAGGGCTCCCCATCCCCAGCATGGGGTCCAGGTGCTGTGGGGCAGCTGCACCCCAGGCCCCCTCAGAGGGATTGCCCCCCCCCACCCCATGCACACCTGCGTCCCTCAGACTCAGCTGCACTGGGGGGGTTGGGGGGGGGAGGTTGGGAAGCACAGCAGTGACTGCGCACACAGCACTCATGCAGAGACCCCCATCCCCCAGGAGCTACGAGTCCACTTGCACCCCCGGAACCACACTCACACCTCCCCCAGACCAAATCCTGGAATATTTGGACCCCCCTCAGTGTGAGGCCAGAGCCCCTTGGTGGGGGGATTGGGGGCAAGCATATGCCCAGTTCTCTGAAGTGCTGAGCTGCTGGAATCTAGGAGTCCTGGGAGCAGACAGGTAGGCACAGGGGATGGGGGGGGCACCACGGCTTGGGAGGGGCACTGTGGTACAGGGGTGTTATTTGGGGTGAGGACCTGCTGTATGGTTTAGGGTGGGCTCCCATCACACGGCAGGGGTCCCGGCCACAGAACTGCGGTGCCGCAGAGCGTTTCGGGTGCCAACAGGCGCCGCCATCTTACATGGGGAGGGGGTTGGCACCGCGCCCCCCCCCCCCCCAACCAGGGCCTATAGGAGCCAAAGGGCCCCCAGCAAAGGAGGGGGATAATAGAGGGGGTTGGGGGGGGGGTTCCGGGGGAGGGGGAGGCCAGGGCTGTGCACAGGGCCTCATGCAGCGCACGGGGGCACGGTGCCAACCGGGGCCATTTTGGCGGCGCTGGGCAGGAGCTGCGCTTTCGGGGCTTTCAGATTTCCCTGGCCTTGCCCAGAGCGGGGGGGGGAGCGCAGGGATTCCCTCCCCAGGGACAAGCCCCACTTTGGTGAGTAGATTTGGGTACGGTGGGGGGGAAGCCCTGCACAGGGGGGTGGGGCACAAACCATTCACACTCCCCTCCTGAAGCACAGGAGAAGCCAGTGTGAAGCACCAACAGTGACCCCAAATTATTCATTCCAGCCCCAAAACTCTGACCTCCCACCCCCCCAGGCAGCAGGATACAGGTGTCCAGGCAGGGAGCGCGGCAGAATCCTGCCACGCAAGCACACGTGTGGGGGCTGTGCCCATGTGCCCCTCACACACACATGTCCTCTGCACTCCAGAGACAAAGGCACCTGTGTGGCACGCAAGTCTGGCACGGCTCAGCTCAGGGCACGGTGCTCAGCTCAGCACCGCACAGCAGTGCTTGGTTCAACACGGTGTTCAGCACAGGGCACAGCAGTGCTTGGTTCAACACAGTGCTCAGCTCAGCATAGTGCTCAGCTCAGGGCATGGTGCTCAGTTCAGGTCACAGTGCTCAGCACAGTGCACAGCAGCACTTGGTTCAACACGGTGCTCAGCTCAGAGCATGGTGCTCAGCTTGGCACAGTGCACAGCAATGCTCAGTTCAGGGCACGGTGCTCAGCTCAGGGCACAGTGCAGAGCAGTGCTTGGTTCAATACAGTGCTCAGCTCAGGGCACGATGCTCAGCCGCACTTGATTCAACACGGTGCTCAGTCAGGGCATGGTGCTCAGCTCAGGGCATGGTGCTCAGCAGCACTTGGTTCAACATAGTGCACAGCTTGGCATGGCGCACGGTTCACGGATTGGTCCATGGCACTGAGCTCAGTATGGTGCACAACCCGGATCGGTGCACAGCACACAGCTCAGATGAGTGCACGGATTAGCACAGTGCACGAAGCAGCTCAGCAGAGAGCTCAGCAGGGCAAACACCTCACATTGGTGCACAGCTCAGCCCCATGCCCGCTCTGGCACCGTGCTCGGCACGGCTCGGCACGCCGCACGCACTTTGGCACGCGGTGCCGCTTTGTGTGAAGAGCTTGGGGGCCGCAGCCCCAGCTCTGCATGGGCACAGGGAGGGGGCTGCAGGGACAGGGACCCTCTTAAGGCCCCCACGGCCAACCCCGAGGCTGCGTGGCAGCAGCACAGCCATCGCTGAGCACTCGAGGAGGGGAAAAGGGACGGAACCGGGAGCTGCCGGGATGTCGTTGGCTACCTGCAGCCCAACCAGGCGCCGCGTGGGGCTCCCAGCACAGCCAGCCCCCAGAGCCCCCCACTCACCAGGCGCCTGCACAAAGAAGGCCAAGTAGAGATCGAGCTCCTTGATGGTGACTCCGATGTGATGGGGCTGCACGCAGAGCCCGGGGCTGGCGCACTGCGGGGCCTTGGCCAGGCGCTCGCCGTCGGTGCTCTCCAACGGGACGCCCTTGAACAGGATGACCATCACCAGGTCCAGCCTCCACACCTTGTCAGCCTGGCGCAGGCAGTCGATACGGCGAATCTTCCCCTTCTGGTCGGGGTTGGAGAGGACGCAGCAAGGCGCCTTCTTGCCAGTGACGGAGAGCACGAAGTCCTCGCGGCACTCGGGCCGGATGTCCTTGCGTAGCTTGGCCAGGAGGCGTGAGGCCCATTTCTGCTTGACCTCGGGCTTCTCGCCCAGCAGCTCGTCCTTGACGGCGCGTTCCTCCTCCTTCGACATCCTCTTCTCGTGCTTCTTGAAGTACTTGCGTTTACGGGCCTGCAGGTTGAACCAGGTGTAGGAAAAAGCCCGAACGTGGGGCAGCAGTGCCTCGATGAAGGGGTGGAACTCATCCTGCAGGGAGGGGAACGGTGTTAGAAGGGTGAATGGTCCCAGCAGCTCCACTCAGCTCCGGGAACAGCCCCGGTGTCACCACGGCCCCGCTGCATCCCCATCCCCAGGGACAGCACAGACACACAGACACTGCAGCTCAGCCTCATCCCAGCCCTGCTCAGGCCTCGTGCCCAGCCCTGGGATCACAGGGACATCCCTGAGGAGCTGCTCAACCCAATCCCCAGCATTGCCACCTCTCTCCCATCTCTGCTCTTCATCTCAGATGCCATCCTTGCTCAGCACCCCCGGTCACCATCTCCATTTTCCTGGTGCTGCCAATCACCATCCCCATTCTCGCTGTTTGCTCCCGCTGCCACCACTCACTGTCCCCGTTCCCAGTTCTGCTGATCCCTATTCCCACCCCTATCCCCATTCCCATCACCAGTTCCACCGTTCCCATACCGTGTCCGTGCTCCCAGTGCCACCAGCACCCGGTCCCCGTCCCCGGTGCCACCATCCCTGTCCCCATCCGTACCATTGCGGCGCATCCCGGCTGTGGGCAGCTGCCAGTCGAGCCCCGGCGGGGCAGAACCGGGAAGGAGAGGGACAATAACCGGGGACGGGAATGGGCGGAACAGCCCTGGGAGGGGTGGGGTGGGAGGTGGGACCACCGAGAAGAAGAAGTTAACGGAGGAACGGGGCGGGCACCGGAGCGTCCCCGGTTACCGGAGGAGAAGGGAGAGTCGGCGGCTGGCAGGCACCGACCCAGGGGGTGGGAAATGGGGGGGGAGGGTTAGGGGCCGGGCACGGGGCACGGAGCCGCACGCACCGGAGAGCCCCAACGCAGCCCCGCACCGCCGCCGGGCGCGGAGCGCGCGGAGCCGCCGCGGCCCCTTTTGGCACCGGGACCGGCGCGGCTTCGACCAATGAGAGCTCAGCGCGCGGGGGGAGCTGCTTCCTCATTGGTTGAGCCGAGGGGGGGGGAGGAGGGACCGGTGAGAGGTGCTGGGGGGGGGTTTGGGGATGGATGGAAGTTGGGGGGGGGGCGGATCGAGGAGTTCGGGGACGGGACGGGACCGGGCGGAGCCGGGAAACTCCGCGTGCGGAGCCGAAGCCACGCTGTGTGAGGAGGGGACGGCAGACCCCGCACTTTTTGAGGGTGGGGGTCGCGTGAGGACGCGGGGTCCCCCCCCCCCCTTCCAAACGGTCCCGCGCCCTTTCG